CCCCCAGCCCAGTCTCTCTCTCTCTCTCTCTCTCTCTCTCTCTCTCTCTCTCTCCTTCCCTCCCTTTCCTTCTTCCACATATATCAAGGAAGGCCCAGAGGTAGTTCACAACTCATGCTGTCAGGGTCAAAAGAAGGAAAACAAAACCCATTGTCCTAGGATGACAGAAGGTTGGAAAAAAAAAAAGTACTATTTATAATTTCGTTCCTTTTATTTGCTGGTTATCGTTTGCTGTTGTCACCCATTAATTTTAGTGCCCTCCTCAGTGGCCTTCAGATGTCTAGATAAAGCATCCAATTTTTTCTCAAGATATCTGGAATCTTGGTTCCTTTTGAGCAAAGGCCACACCATCGGGGGAATTTAAATTATACAGCCATCGGATACTATCTCCAATTGGACCCGTTCCGCGTTATTTGGGGCACCTTAGGCCCTCTTATATCAGATTATGAATAATAATCCCTTTAATTTTCCTTTCTGCTTGGACTGGGCCCGGCATCCTGTTAACTGTTCCTCTGATCCTTAGGAGCGTACATCAGTGAAAGTTCAAAAATTATACCTAGCCGAGTTAATTAAAGGCCACGCGCTCCAGAGTGACAATTTACTTGGACATTCCTGCGGTACGTTATAATAAGCTCCGCAAGAATTATTTATGACTTTCATTTTGCAGCATTCGGTGCCTACAGGGAAAGTCCTCCAGCTTACGACCGTCATTGAGCTCAACACTTCTGTGGGGAAGTGAGATATTTGCTAAGTGAATTTTGCCCCATTTTACGACCTTGTTAGCTTGTTACTGTCACTGCAGTTGTTAAGCTAGGAGCACGGTTGTTAAGGCTTCACCTGTTGAGTTTGTGTGTTAGAAAGTCGCAAAAGGGGATCATGTCACCACCGTCATAAGTAGAAGTCAGTTGCCAAAAGCCTGAATTTTGATCATACGACTACGGGGGGGGAAATGCTTCAACGGTCGTAAGTGTGAAAAAAGGTCATAAGTTGCTTTCTTTGGTGCTGTTTGCAACTTCAGATGGTCACTAAATGGACTGTTGTAACTCAAGGGCTGCCTGTGTTTCATTATTGACCCAAAACATGCGATTTTCATAGTATCTTGATGAATTTTGCAACACCTTGGCGAAATATTTTCTGTGTTGGAATTATCTAATCCTAAAAAACAGCTTCATTTATCTGTGACTCTGATTTATTCTTTTTTTTTCTTTTAAGTGTGTGAGTGTGTCAATGTGTGAGAGAGTTGAGGGCTGTTTGGAAACTGAAGCAGTATTTGCTGCGTGAACAGGAAGGAGACAGCAAGGAGCCTGGGTGTGGCTTAGCTCAACTGTCCTGTACTAAAGCTGTTTGGTGCTGTGAAACTGAAACTAAAATTCTTCTCTGCTTGTGTTTTGCATTTGGGACAGATTTCTTTTCAGGTGGGGAGGGGGAGTAGAACTCCTTAGCATCAGAGCGTGTTAATAATAATAATAATAATAATAATAATAATAATAATAATAATAATAATAATAATACCGTGTTTCTCCAACAATACGACCTCCCCCAATAGGAAGACCCAGCATGTTTTCTAGGCATAAAATGAAATTAAGCCCCTCCCCCCAAATTTAGGCCTATTTTAAAACATGCGAAGTGGGGGGTCTTGCCGTTAGGAGCGCCATGCGGGCAGCAATTCCTCGCCACCAGCTGCTCCTAATGGGCGATCACCGCAGAGCGCGGAGAGCTCCCTACTCCTGCCAAGCACCTTTGTGGCAGACCCAAGACCTTCAGCACTCGCCGCTGTTGATTTCCCTTCTGCCCATGATGCCACCACGTTTGGAGCTGTCACTTCCACGTTTGGAGCTGCCGCTTCCACGTTTGGAGCGCTGCCGCTGTTTGGAGCGCTGCCGCTGTTTGGAGCACTGCTGCCGTTTGGAGCTGCCGCTTCCGCTTCCGCATTTGGAGCTGCCGCCGTGTTTGGAGCTGCCACTTCCGCGTTTGGAACCCCACCGCTCTTTGGAGCACAGCCGCTGTTTGGAGCTGCCATGTCCGCAGTTGGAGCTGCTGCTTCCGCGTTTGGTGCACCGCCGCCGTTTGGAGCACCGCCGCCACTCCAAACACGGCGGCAGCTCCAAACGCGGAAGTGGCAGCTCCAAACATGACGGCGGTGCTCCAAATGGCAGCAGCACTCCAAACACAGACGCGGCAGCTCCAAACGTGGCGGCGGAATGGGCAGAAGGGAAATCAACAGCGGCGGGTGCCAAAGGTCTTGGATCTGCAGCAAAGGTGCATGATCACCCGTTAGAAGCGGCTGGTGGCGAGGCTGCCCGCAGGCGCTCTAGATGAGGATGCAAGGGGGAGAATTAAGTAACCCCTGGAAAGACGGCCCAGCCATTTTTTCAGGGCTCAAAAAAATATAAAACCTGGCCTTATTTTAAGAGAAACACGGTAATAATAATAATAATAATAATAATAATAATAATAATAATAATAATAATAATAATAATAATAATAATAATATAGAAAATACTAATTCTCTGATGGTCATTTCGAAAAATCCTTTCTTAGTGAGCCCCTAGAAGCTAAGAGGAACATACGGGCCCAATTTCAAGTTTGTGGCTTTATGGTTCTGGAGATTTTGTGATGATGCGTGAGGGGTATTTTGCTTTTTTATATATAGATTACACAGGTGGTGAGTATCTCATTTATTTTTTAATTTATTTTTTAATCTTACATTTATCATATGCTTTGTCACTTTATAGTGCACTGTGCATTTTTAAGGACATTTCTTTAGGCTTCCGTACGTTACAGATACCCGTAATTAATTACTTGTACATCAGGATGTAAACTTCCCTGTCATTTTATCGATCGCTGTAATTCCGTGATTCTCAATCTTGGCAGCTTGAAGATGTTATGGACTTCAACTCCCAGAATTCCCTGGCCAGCCAGGGGAATTCTGGGAGTTGAAGTCCTCACATCTTCAGGCTGCCAAAGCTGAGAAACACTGCTCTAATGTCGTTTATTCATTCATTCAAAACAGAAAACCTT